GTGACTAAGAGTGTCGGCCACCCGTTTGTAATCGGGACTTTAGTAGGACGTCATTTTCTCGACCGGGGGTGGCTACCGCCACTCTTGATTTAGATGCTCTAATTTAAGTACTTTTCCTGATGTGAAATTTCGCGAGAAACAGAATGGCGGTGGTGCCGCAAGGATAGGAGCTGATTAAGGAACGACCTTAACTGGAGTTCTTGCAAGTGTCAGAGACTTGCGATATTAAAGTTTGCTCCGATGTGAAATTTTATGAGAAACACGATGATGCTACCGGTTTTGTCTGAAATCGACCCCAAAACTTGAAAGAAGCTCTCCAACCCTGGTAAAAATTGGCGATAAGAGCTGCGTTTCTAAATACCATAGGAATTTTTACAGCCGGCTAAAGAAGGCTACAGAAAATCATATAGCTGGCTGTAGAATGCGGAGAAAATCATACGGGCTATACGAAGCGATAAAAAATTATACGGCCGGGCTATAGTTCCTATAGCCGGGCTTTACACTTTATTGCCTGACCCCTGGCTGTTGCTTTTTCGCCATCGATTATAAAAGGCTCTAAGAAATTGTGTAGAAATTCGTGTGCTTTGGAAATCATTAAGTTCGATACGGAACCACCTTAATATTTACAAAACACACGTTATATTTTCCTTTCATACCTATATATTTTTTTTCATCAATTAAAATGTGAATAATCTGTACAGGATGTGCAAACATTTCAAAATCATGAGTTGAACAACTCTGACTCCACCATATTAAATATTAGAGCCTAACACAAAGCGGAGCGGCGACGCACTGGCGCCTACAAACCTAACGGGGATACTTCACGCATTGCGCAACGCGTGAAGTATCCCTGTTAGGTTTGTAGGCGCCAATGCGCGTTCCGCGCTGGCTGCCCGCCTGTCGCACCACAGAGTGACACGGCGCTTGAAGCAACTATTTCACACCAGAGGTATTGCACAGTATCAGACGAAACTGAAGGCGCTCTAATATATATGGAATGGCAGGCATCCATCAAAAGTACGGAGCTTTCCTCGCAAAATAAATCAAGATACTACAGCCCAAAAAGAGAGCAGTGGTCCAAAAACTCACTAAGTCCTAGCATCCCGTAATTAGTGACGTTTAGCATACACTTTATCGCCTGGCTGTGAGTTGCTTAATCGCCATCGGCTATAAAAGGCTATAAGAAATTGTGTAGCCGGCTATAGAAGCTATTGGAAATCTTACAGCCAGCCGCGCGGAGGGGTAGCGAGAAATATGCCCACGCCTTGCCACCCCTTCCTCCTCCCCTCTACACACGGATTCTTCATGACTGAGGACGTCAAAATGCGAGACAACGACGCACAGTAGAATGAGCCAGTGGGCAAAGTTTGAAGGACCAGTAGCTAATAGAAATAGAGTTTTAGTAGGGCGTATTTAGGCCATTCTCAAAAGGTCAAGTAAGCTGTTTCTCAACAAAATCTGTTTAAAGTTATTTTTCTTTGCTTTCAGAAGGAATGAAGTAATGTACAATCCATCCACCAAGCCGCCGTTGTGCTACACAGCGTTTGCAATAAATGGTGGCCTTTTTGCAATTCTCCTTTTCGTTACGGCCATAGTATTCACCGACGGTTACTACCATTCTTGCGCTCAGTATAAACAAACCGTCATCAAAAATATCATGGTAACTATCAAAGCTTTGTCTAGGCAATAAAATTGCCCAATTTCTAGATAGCAGGTTGTGACAGTGTGACACTCTTCGAACAGACTTTGGCAAGTCAATGACTGACGTCAAAAATGATGTACTTCGATCGCAATATTGAAATTTTCCCGTGCTTAAATTTTATTTTTTTGGTGGGAAAAATAGAGATTATGGCTTAAAACTTGATTCTAATTTCAGAATATTTTCCTCACACGATGTATTACGCGTTCTTCACCAATGTCAGATCTAGACCAGAGACCGTATGATGAGAGGTCGTGGGTCAAAATCTCAGTTAAAAGTGGAGTTTAGGGGATTCGCAAATCATCACCTGTGTACCTACGCTAAAAAGCCAAGTTTTTACCTACGTATAGCCCTCTAAAGTCTAAATTTAAAGACCCCCTAAACTCGACACTTATCTGAGATTTCAATGTCACAAATGAATTAAACATATCAAATTACGGGTGCATACCGATTTCCATGACTTTCGGCGGATAGGTATGCGCTGCCATCACGTAGGAAAAACTAATTTTTGCTCAAAACTTTGGGTTAGAGGCTGTAGGCTAAAAATAGCTCCCTTAAAAAGCACTTTTGGGAATTTCAAACAAGAAAAAGTTCTTTTGGGAATTTCAAACAAGAAAAAGTTCTTATTTTCAACCATAGAACATTCTCCTAGGCAGTCTGGCGGTTTAACTTTCGATCATCTGTATTCGATGGTCAAATTACTAAACCACGTACCTCTTTTGCGGCGTTTCAATATGTTCGCCCTTATTTTATTTCTACATAGGCTGTCCAAAAAGTACCGAGACTGGTTCCATAACTCAAAAACCAAGATAGCTAGAGGCTTGATCTTGGTCTCATTTGAAAGATCAATTTATTATCTATTGATTGAGACCAAAATCAAAACTTTCGGTCAAATATTTCAAAAGTTACAACACTGTTTGTAAAAAAAATATCTGGACCCCCTACCGTTTTTTATGACTATTTTCTCTTGCCGGAAACACTCTCTAAATTAATGATCAGTGCACGGTTCTTTTGCAACTAATCATGGCAAAACCTAATTGATTTGGAAACACTAGCTGTCAAGTCGTCGTCGTCCGACTACGGGTATGAGGGTTCAAAGTCAACGGGAAAAGAATAAACCGTCGGTCAGCCACCCCCAAAAAACCAGGGAAATTTTCGGCATTTGTTGACAGTTCACAGTGCGTGCGTGGTCTACGCTGCAGATGGTGAGTGATTTTGTTTCTGTGTTCAAAATTTTTGATACCATCATGGAAAGAGATAAAGCAGTGGTATCAAACATTTCGAACATAGAAACAAAATCACTCACCATCTGCAGCGTAGACCACGCACGCACTGTGAACTGTCAACAAATGCCGAAAATTTCCCTGGTTTTTTGGGGGTGGCTGACCGACGGTTTTTTCTTTTCCCGTTGACTTTGAACCCTTATATCCGTAGTCGGACGACGACGAATTGACAGCTAGTGTTTCCAAATCAATTAGGTTTTGCCATGATTAGTTGCAAAAGAACCGTGCACTGATCATTAATTTAGAGAGTGTTTCCGGCAAGAGAAAATAGTCATAAAAAACGGTAGGGGGTCCAGATATTTTTTTTACAAACAGTATTGTAACTTTTGAAATATTTGACCGAAAGTTTTGATTTTGGTCTCAATCGATAGATATTGAGTTGATCTTTCAAATGAGACCAAGATCAAGCCTCTAGCTATCTTGGTTTTTGAGTTATGGAACCAGTCTCGGTGCTTTTTGGACAGCCTATGTATATGTAGAGAAACAAACCAACATTACAGTTTGAAATTTATACAGAATGTTCCTCTATCAGAATGAAAATCGAGGAAGTTTTCAAGAAATCAAGCCGACATAGTTTTCCTAGGAACAAATTAAGTATGACAGTGCGGGCTGATTATTAAAATTGATGGACAAAGCATTACTTACTTCCTTTGTCCATTGCAACCGCACCGGCTTCCACCAATAGGATCGCTTTATTTTAAGTTTGTCTTTCTTGTCTACATATCTCTTTGTCTATCAATTTCAATGGTCAGTCTGCAGCATCGCAGACCGAGATACGTGGTTTCACGCACTTTGGTCTTTTACATTTTAATCAAAGATTGTAATACCTACATAATACTTCCCTGGTAGCAATGACCTTTTAAAACATTTTTCAAAAACTCATAAAAAAACTGTAAAAATGTACGTATTAGAAAGCCCTTTTTGGATTCTTTTTGAAAGTTAAATTTAAGGGCAAAAAAGTTTTAAAAAATCTCAAAATATCACAATTGTAGTTCTTTAACATTTTTCCAACATTTTTAGTGTTGAAAAACGACACTTGATATTTTAGGAATTTTTTAAACTTTGTTTTTACTTCAATTTTACTTGAGAAAATAGCCAAGAGAGTTTCCTAAAACGAAGATTGAAACAGTTTTTTTTTTAAAGAGTTGTCTGTTCGATAAGCAAGGCCGGATTTACCCACTGGCCGCCCATGGGCCGCCTGTATTTTACCGCCCCCTTCTCATTCGTTTTGAAGCATCAATAAAAACCCTCAAGTGAACGTGCCGGAGGGAGAGGGGTGCATAAAACGCGTTTACTCGTGTTGGACACATTTTTTGGGAAAGTTCCGTCAACACTACTGACAAAATTTTCCCGGAACTTTAGGCGAAAGTCAAGTTCCGTAAACCTACTTCTGTGCGAACAAGGCCCTCCATTTATAAAGGTAAATGAGCGAAGAATTATGAAAGAGCAAACATGTGGTTTAAAAATTTTAACTTCCGCCGTCGCGCGCCGCGCCGCGCAGACCGCACCGTGTTTGGCGTAATGCGTGAAGTATTCTTACAGTCTCGTAGGCGCTTTGCGTTTCACGCTGACCGCTGCGCTGCTGAACGCACGGTGTTTGACGCAATGCGTGAAGTATTCATGCAGCCTTGTCGGCGCTATGCGGTTCACGCTGACCGCAGTGACCGCACTGTGTTTGATGCAATGCGTGAAGTATTCATGCAGTCCTGTAGGCGCTAATGTGTGTTACATGCCGACCGCTGCACCTAGGGCTTCTCCTTTTCATCTCAAACCCTCGTCATTTCTCTCCAAGCCGCGCCGTGCCGTTCCAGGCCAAATTGCGTGTTCGGTTTCTCTCTTAACTCGACGAATTGAAGGTGCTGTCTCTTGTATCACTGAGAGACGACAAAATTAGAAATTACAATACTCGCAGGAAATGAGAGATTTTGTCGCCTTTTCTTGCTTGTAATTTTTTTCCTAAATCCGATTTTTTTTATGCCTACATTTTAAAAAATTGCAAAATTTGACGCCCCCTAGATTTGCCGCCATGGGCTGCGGCCCATGTGGCCACCCCCTAAATCCGGCCCTGTTGATATGTAAGAGTTTTACAAAGGTTCTTTAAGAGTCGTTGCTACCAGGGGTGGGGTAGTTTTCCCGGTAGCTAAGAGGGATGAAGTGATTACAGGCGACGGGGAACCTGGCACGGATGATCGGGGAGCGGCTGTCGTGCAGCGCGACGTTCGACTTCCTGGACTACATGCAGCCGGAGACCTCGGCGACGTGGGCGCGCGGCCGGGCCTGGAGCAACACGGAGCACTACTACGGGGCCCCGGGCGTCATCAACACCACCGTCCTCCTCAACCTCACGCTCGTCTTCGCCTGGGCCCACTTCCTCGTCTGGCTCGCAGTCGCAGTCATCAACGTCATGGCCGCCATGCCCAGGGCCCGCACCCGCAGGGCCCCCAATGCCCACCCCTTCGCCCTTGCCAACACCAAGCTCCAGCCTCTCAATACGGATCTCTGAGCATACAACACTTTGCGATATCTCCATTTATTATCCTGCCATTTGAACCAATGGAAAATGATCGATATAAGGGTGTTCGCAACCACCACATTGATAGTCGATTCTTTACTACAGCTTCAAATGAGGAAACATCGATTATCGATCCTTCACATCTCGCAACTGAGTGATTTCGATACCTAAGTTGTGATTTGATTGAAGAATGTATCGCGATTTTATTGACGTAGATTTATTGCGATATCATCGAATAAAAATGCGATTTTATAGCGTAAATTTGCAATAAAGTTACGATTTTATCCACGGCGATTCACCGCGATATTATCGAACAAAAAATCGTGATGAATTGAGATGAATTTCGATTTTAATGATATAAAATTGCGACAAGATCGAGGATAATCGCTCAGATGCTGATGATCCTGACGATTTTATCGCCGCAAACCGTGAAAAATCGCAACTTCATTTCAAACTATGGAGAATTTTCCGTTAAAGAAGGCTACTTGGGTCCTACGCCAAGGGAGAACGCCAAATTAACATTGGAATGTTGCCTTATTTCCCCTGAAAAACGAAATTTTCTCGGAAGAAAATTATCGATGGCCAAAGGACGAAACCACGTATGTCCATCGCGGCACCTATTTCATTTTTCCGGAGAGAAACAAGCCAAATTTATGGCTTGAAATTTATGCAGAATATTCTGCTATTAACGTAGAGGAAAAATCAAGGAAGTTTTCAAGTGATATTATCTGATTATGTCTTTATCTGACTGTTTATTGATGAGGGATGTAATTGGTGATCTTACTTAACCAAAACATTTTTTAGTTTTTTAGTTTTTGACTGGTTTTCTGAAGAAAAAATGAAGTGTGACGGAAAGTCTACGATGTCGCGAACGGAAATGCGTGGTTTCGCACTTCGTGCTTTGCGATTTATCGAATAATGATCTGCCATTTAGACCTATGGAAAAGGATCGATAAACAGGGTGTTCGCAACGAACACTTTAATAATCGATTCTTCACCACAGCTTCAAATGGAGAAATATTGATCATTCACGCCACGTCATTGCAAAAGATTGTGGAAGGCAGGATTTCTCTTGAACGAACCAAAGGTAGAGAAGAGGGGGGTGGAGAGAGGATAGAGAAAAACAATCGAACAAAACAGAGAGGAAAAGAGAGATCCAAATGTGTGTCCAGAATTTGATAAAATTATATGATATACTGTATTGAAATTGATAATTGTAGATACCAATTCTAAATGTTACCTAATGCGTTTATTGTTTAAAAATACCCATCCGTCCTATTGAGAAAATAAAATTCACCAATTTTACATAATTTAAGATTATTCAATCAATGTTCCTTCAAAATGATTATTTTAAAGTCACTGCCTGCACGAGACGAAGGACGTGATCTACAAACAATTCAGACATTGCATTTCGAATTTCATGCCCAATTTAATATTTTATGCTTATTCATTCATTTTGTTTAAATAAATAAATAAAAAAAAAAAAAAACTGGGATCATTTATTAAACTCAATATTCTTGTTAAAATTTTTTATTTTGATGGCTGAAGTGCGAAACGACATACCTCTGATTGCAACGTCACAGATTTCCTATCAAACATTATTTTTTCTTTGGAAAATCAGCCACTGTAATTTCTTGAAAACTGTCTTGAGTTTTTTCTCTGTTAGCAGAACATTCTGTGTTAATTTTTACCTATAAAGTTGGCTTGTTTCTCCTCGAAAGAATAAAGTAGAGGGGGAATTTTGAAGTATCGCAATAGAGATACGTGGTTTGGCACTTTATTCATCGATTTACGTTCTAAACCTGGTAATATTCAAGTTTGTTCATGTTTTCCACATAATCACAAATCACGAGAATGTCATCAACTCTTTCAATCGATCATTTCATCTTCAATCCTGGAAATAATTAATTTGTTCGTAATTTATTAGAGACTTAAGTGCAAGATTTTGTAATCTAAAAATATTCTCTGGGTGTGCAGATATTTGAAACACCAAGTGCACAGAGGTAATTAATTCCAAGGAGAACATCCAGGTTTAAGTAAATATTTAAGTAAGAAAGTGTAAAACCAAAATTTCGTAGAACGAACCTACATTAACTTCCTGACAGGAAGAATCTTTGGATATTATAAAAGGGAAATAAAAATGACAGAATATGAAAAATAATAAACTTTAATTGAACATTTGGAACTAATAACAGAAACAATACATTCCTTTAACAAATAAAAATAATTATCTTTTGAGATGGTACATAAGTTATGATGTCGGTGAGACTAGATCGGTGGAGAGGCTGAAGTGATTGATTTTGAGGTAAAGATAAATACTAGATACAATTGCTAGGGTTGCTAATTCCTGAAGACTTAAATATAGGCTGGGTAAAATAATAAGAAGCCCTGAAACTGATAGGGATTTTTGAAGTCACAAATATTCGCAACACATCTGATGGACGTGTATTCTTCACTGAATTCAGTTCATCGAGATAAATGCCCAATAAATCTTACAGCTAGAGATCTACTAAGCTATGAAAAAACGCTGTATGAACATTTTAGAGTTGCTGATTTCTCCAATAAAATTTTTATTTTCAAGCAAAGTTAGAGGTACTCTTTCATGAAATTTTTACATCATTCAGATCTGATTGTGAGTAAAATTCTCTGGTAACTCGGGGGAAAAGTATTCACAGATTTCTCTGAAAAATCGTGTTTTTTCAAAGGAAATTTGGCAACGTCTGAAGGCTCATACGGCGTTCTTCCCTCGTACGGCAGAAATGCAACAGATATATTGATTATTCAGAACAGATAAAAAGGTGCAGCACAAGAAACGAAATCTATGCTCCAATGCAGAAATTGTTTTTTAAATAGCGTGAAGTTTCATTATTAACAAGAAAGCTTACGTGGATTAAGATCTTTGTTCTTGATGGGCTAAGATTCATTGAACAAGAGGATAGGCAGAGAAGTATAAAAGAAAATGGGGAAAAATTGGGGTCTGATTTTTTGACTAATCTTAAATTTAATATTGCCTAATAAAAATAGGCTGTGCAATTGGATTTTGGGCGGACACAAGGTGAATAAGATCAAGAGAAATGAATTTATAATTGAGACTCAATATATTGGAGAAACAGTAGATCAGTTGCACAAGTCTTAGAATCGTTTTTGGATAGCTGAACCTCATGGATTGGAACAGGATATTTAGATCTGTGCAACAGCTGAGCGAAAGCACCGTTATTAAGGCTGCCGTATTTTAATACTGCAGAAGCTATTACAGTAATGTTTAGTGCGTGATTTAACTCAAGAACTCTACAGTTCTTTTATAAGTGAGAAGTTGGAATTAATGCATTGAAAAACGATTTTACCTAGTAGTTAGTTTCAATATTTTCCGTAGCAAAAATCAAGTTGTACAGGAAATTTTGATGAGACATCATATATGATAGTGCTTGAATTTGCACCTTGTCTTGTAGTCTATAAAATGCTAAAAGTTTAAAAAAATGAGAAAATTTGCTTTTCTATTCACAACATGACATCAGATCCGTACAATGTAGCGCTTTAGATTAAAGGCTGATTAAAAAATATTGAAAAAGGGGAAAGAAAAGCTATGTAATGATAGAAGAATTCTTTTTGTTCACTTTATTGTAAATTCATTCCAATTTACCTCATACTAGGTATGAGATGTTGGATACCTATGTAAAAGTTCTGAATGCAAACATATTCTGAGGTTCTGAAACTTTGAATGTATATTACTTCTAAGTTCCAGAGATCTGAATTCAGTCTGTTAGTTTTGCTAAAAATAGTTTGTGCTTTAATGCATAATACAGCATAGATATCAAAAAGATAACTTTGTAAAAGAAGAGAGATCTGACTATTTTCTGCACAATTCAAATGAAGATAAAACTTGAGATTTTCAAAATAGCTTAAAAAACTAAGGTTAAAGCTACAAAATCTTTACTAAATTTTATAAGGCAAGTCCAAATACACAAATTGATCAGAATTTCCCCAAAAATGCAAGTCAATATCTTCAAAAGTTCTGGCCTATTTCTAAAAGATAAAGAGAAAAAGAGGAAAAAAAGAAAAGAAAATTCATCCCTAAAATTAATAGAATGAATGAAAAGGCTCTCATTAACAACTGCAAAGCGTTGGTTGGCATGTCTAATATTTGCTAAGCTATTCATCTATCTTCCAGATACAAATATTATTCCAGAAATACATGCTGAAAAAGACAGTAGAATGTGGCATTCCAAAATGTTTAATAAAATTAGGTTTGGAAGAATGCAACATGAAAAATTTTCCTTTACTGTACGAGTAAGAGGCTATCCTCTACATCCTAGAGGAAAGTGAGGAAATCACACTGCCATACAGAGTGATCCAAAAATCCTGCACCATCCGTGAAAACCTTAGGATTCTTGACTTTTATCAAAGTTAGGGAGGGGGGGTGTCCTAAAAGTTCTTGGACCTAAGGGCACTCACAAAATTTAAAATCTCCATCTTGAGGTGTTCAAAAGTTTGTCTCGTTGTGATGGTGCAGAACTTTTGGATCATCTTGTGCGTAGGAATATCTGAACGGATTTAATCAGAATCGGTCTCACTGCATTTCACTTTGCAAAGGTTTCTATCATATTTTATTTTTCGGACAGGGAACTGACCTTATTTATAGGAATTGACACCAAATCATGAAGAATATATGAGGACATATATGTAACAATGGCGGATGTGAAAAATTACCTTTTTGAGACACGCTCAAAAAACTGTTTCCGCATCGAGAAAATCTTGAGAAAATACTTGTGATGTGATCTTCGAGATCTGTATATTATGCCAGAGGCAAACATATTAAATTTTTGTGTGACCAAAACAGTCTTTTAAGCGTGTTTCGAAAAGGGAATTTATAACATCCGCCATTGTTACAGAAAAGGCCTCATATGTACTCACAAAATTTCAAGTTTCAGTGTTATGTAGTTTTATGTTCAGAAATTAAACCAAAAGAGAGAACTGGGCAACATCTGATGTAGTTACGCTGATTTTAGTTAAATCTGTTCATTTACTTCCAGCATCCTACCTCAGTACTAAAACCAAAATGCTCTGCATTGGTACACTTGACAGATTTTCTTTTTTCTCAGATTTTCACAAATTTCTTAATTTCATGTATGCAGATAACCTACTAATAGAGTGACTACTGATACAACACATTTTCTAAGTGATTTAGGACACTCTAGGAACAATTTCAACTAAATAAAAAACACATTTTCTAAGTGATTTAGGACACTCTAGGAACAATTTCAACTAAATAAAAAAATCAAACTATAAAAAAAAAATCATCAAAAGTTACTAAAACCTTACAGCAAATTGATTCACATTGAAATTTAGAACAAATTGTGATCTAAATATTTCGTGGAAGTACATGATAGGAAAATACCCAGTGGTAGTTTTTAAATATCTCAGTTTGGCTGATAATACATATTGAATTGGAGAAAACTGCAGTAATGTCCCAATAGGACTTCAAGTCTCTTACCATAGAGTAAAAAACAATTGGTGGGAAACCAGAGTGTGTCTGGCAAAGACAAGTTATTGAGGAAAATGTGCGCAAAAAGTTTTATGTTGCCTATGAGACTCTCAATAAATGAGAATGGTTTAATTCAATAGCAAAAGTAACTTGCAGAGTATTCATTAATAAATAACATTTTTGCTTCGGAGGAGGTGTCTAAAAACTAGTCAGGAAAAATTTTAGACTTTTTCCTGACTCTTTCAACATTTTTGCCAAGCCAGTTAAGTTACTAATTGCGGTTGCAGTATTGTATGATCATCAATAAGCTTGAAAAGTAGTTAAATGTTGAAAATGATCAATCGACAACTCCTTGGGGACTTAATGGCTTTAAAATAAAAAAGAAAGGTGGACATGAACGGGTGATCTCTGGATTTTCACTTTGGAGAAGAAGAAAAATTTTGTTCTTGACTGAATTCCTTGACTTTCACTGACAAGTTTTGGTGTAACATTCTTCAAGGAACAATTTTTTCAACTGAGCAACTTTTATGCAAAATTTCAATATTCTTCTGCTGTATTTGAGGCAAAATTCAGGGCCTTAATCTGATTTCAAGAATTTTTTTATACCTTTAGACACATCCTGTTTTGGGATGAGCCATTCAAACAAAAATACAAGATTAACATGGAAACTAAGAAAATAAGAGAAATAAATCATAGAAAGCTTAAATACTCCGCAAAATACATGCAATAATCCCTGGTAAATGAAAGTATAGCTGCCAAAGTTTGGAAGCATGACTGATCTGCCCCAATTGATTTTTTTGCTGTTAGATACAAAATTACCGTGACTTTATTCTGCATTTTGCAGGCCAGTGCCACAAGGTTAGATGGAGTAACTCATGTAAATTTTGACTGCTGTTCCTACTAAGATTGTAAGCAAAAATGGCAAATTTCAAATTTTACTCAATTCACGCACAAAATCTCTAATTACTAATGTCCTGATTCCCGGACTATTCCCTGGTATAAATCCCTGACTTTATAAGCAAAAAACCCTGACTTAATAAGCAAAGATCCCTAGCTTTGCAAAAATAATTCCCCGACTAGTTATTCAAGTATTCCATGTCTTTCTCAGGCTGACTATGAATGCCAAAATTTCAGAAAGAAGTAAGAATGTCCACTATGACAAAACATTGCAGCTCCTGTTTTTGTAGTGTCAGATATTTCTTGACCCTACAATATTCCCTGGCATTGAAAAAAAAAAAAAGAAAAGAAAAGAAAATTCAAAGCAAGAAAGGCAAAAATCCCCAAATTATCCTCTACTTTACCTGACGTTTCTGCAGAAATCTATGACTAATCCTCACACTGAAAAAAACACTCCGGCCGTGGAAGCCGTACTTACGGGCTATATAGACATACCGTCTGTGTTCCGGGCTTAGAGGCCGAAAGTTCCGAGCGCAGCACCCGGAGCAGTCGAAGTGCTCCGGGTGCTACGCCCGGAAATTTCGGCCTCTGAGCCCGGAACACGGACGGTATGTCTATATAGGCCGTAAGTACGGCTTCCACGGCCGGAGTGATTTTTTCAGTGCACTTTTCACATGTTTGGCTTTACAAAAACACAGGAAAAATCTCAAATACAAAGGCAAAATGCCAAAAATTTCCAAAAAAATAAAAATCATACCTTAAAAAAGGGGGGAGGGATTTTATGATTACCATTTAAGTACCATTTCCGTGATGTAATTCCCCCTACAAATCTGCAAATAACATATTCATAGACTATAATTTAATTTTCCAATTTTTATTTCCCCATTTTCCCACTTTTATAAAATTTTAGGATTGTCCCCCTTCTTATAGAATCCTTGCATCTTTACCCGGCTCCTAGTAAAAATAACAGCGCTTGATACTATTCCTGCTGCTGCTAATTCTGGCGTGCTAAGGAAAAACCTGCACAAGCATTCAAGCATTGCCAAATCTCCTTCAACAAATCATGAATTTCCGAAAGAATTTGTACATATTTTTCTTCCAATTTTTCAGAGAATTTAGTTTGTAAATTGATCTGAAGTGTCTGAAAATTTCAAAGAAAAATATTCAGAAAGTTCTTCAAAAATAAATATATTCTGAGAGGTATTTTGACAACATTCAAGTGTTCATCCAGCATTTTTCCTTGGCACGGCAGAATAGATATCACGTATGCTTTTAACATGCCTCAGCAACATCTGCTTTGATCAAGCAGAAAAATCTAACCCTAGCATAGACATATCTCTTCCATGACCATTCTTTCAGACTTTTTTCTCAAGGTAACGTTCTCAATAGCTTAAAAGAGCATAAAATAATGACTCTATTCTAATAGAATATCATAATGGGCCTGTTGCAAACTTTTGCTAGAGCAAAACTAAGAGTTGTTTCTTACAGATAATGCCTCAAAAATCACGATGAGCGTATCGGCAAAGTCTGAAATGCACCTATAACTTCACAATCTGCGTAAGAAATTTGCGGTTTTTTGAGCTTCCCGCTTCGAAAACGATACTACGGCACAGGTGAATATTTTGTTAGAGGAGTCGTTCCATTGGCGGCAATACTCATCATGGCGCCATCATGTCCGCCAAAACACGTGTGATGGGACGAGATAACACCTGAACGGGATTAAACTAGATAACAATCGGCGTGTTTACGTTCATATTTTCCTCGCCCGCCTTAATTGACCTTGAACTCTCCTCGAATTACGCGAGGAACTGCGCAAGCGTCGGCCATGATGAATATTGCCGACGATGGAGCGACTCCTCTAACACAATGTTCACCTGTGCAGTAGTATCGTTTTTGAAGCAGGAAGCTCAAAATAACGCAAATTTCTTACGCAGATTGTGAATTTATGAGTGCATTTCAGACTGCCGATGCGCTCATCGTGATTTTTGAGGCATTATCTATAGGAAACAACTCTTCATTCTGCCCTAGCAAAAAATTGCAACAGGCCCATTAGCACTGAACAGACAAAGGGCATGATCCCAGATTACAAGAGACAAGCAAACAGAATATAAAAGAAAAGCAAAATTGGGTCTGGGATTTATCATCAAACTCCCTTGATTGGATTTTTTTTCTCATCTTGAGCTAAAATCAGAATTCCATAAAAATTTAAGAATTTACTTGGGTTTAGATGGTTCAAAATTAATTTGTAAAGAAATGTAACTGTGGAAAGAGGTTGGAAAAATTGAAATTGGCCCTTTCTTCAGGGCCAGAATCACCTGGGATCTCAGTTCTCAAGTTGTTTAAGAATACATTGACCAAGGGTAAAATAAAATCCCATAAAAATAAACAAATTTGCATTAATTCAAGGCTTTGGTTAATTGTACACAGCTTTTAACGATTGTTGAAGCGCAAGAATGCAAATAGTTCCTGACCGCACAACTGGCCGATGAATACCAAATTGTGGACACTGACATAGAGTTTTTTTTTCCTTTTCTTTCATCATCCTTTTTTTCTAGAAATTTGTGTTTCCTTCAAACGATTTGATTCGACACTTGGTGCTAACGTCCAGATGACAATTGCAAAAAAAAAAAAAAAAATGTGTATATATATTGAACAAATTTTTAAACATTTCATTGTGCTGATATTTTTGTGAAAACCTGGTGCATTTTAGAAAATTTTGGAGGCCTCATTGAAAATTGTGGAGGGCTAGAACCATTTGCACTCTTGTTGAAGCATCTCAAACATTTTGGTAACTGTGCGCTTGGAGAGTGAAAAAAAGGTAGTGTAACATGGAAATGTCTCATCATTAAACTAAAATAATTATTAAAAATATCAAATATCTTGAATTAAAATACACAGAGATATGAAAAATTGAAACCAGAACTTAACTGGCGTCAACTTGAAATCCAGGGATATATATTGGGATCCTGAAATCCAGGTTTATATTGGAAAAAGCATACTTTGCAGGATAATTTAATAACAATAATTTCAGTATTGAAGCCATTGATGCAAAGACTTAACATTTTTTGGGTAAAATTTTCAATGTTTTCAGAGTTTTTCATTCTTGGTTTTGTACTTAATAAAATTTTTCTCAGCAAAATTAACATTTCCTTCAATTCTTCCTCGCCTAAATTTTGCTCACAGCAAATCTTGATGTCCTTCAATTAGATACTAAAATTACAATCTCTGTCCCAAATTTTCCAGTTTCTCTCCATTTTTGGTACGTAATTAATTCATTGCAAATCAGCACTTTGCAACAAGCAAAATGTAGCAATGTTTTGAATTACTTGACAGAAAAATTCACAAAGATAACTTGTGAATTTTTTAGAGACCAATTTTGTCATTATTATTATTATGATTAAATAAGTTTCGATGAGATATAGGTTGCCAAATTTTACTTACAAAACAAGTGAAGCTCCGATGAAAACCCTAGAACAGGGCTAATCTTTAGTGCTAAGCTGGGCAAACACTTGATTCAACTGTTGCGTGCACCTGATGAAAGTTGCCCTACGGGTTAATTCTTTTAGTTTAGCTGCTCCAGTGTAAGTGCATGCAGAACGAAGCCCACCTAGGATATCGATGATAGTGTCGCTGACGTCCCCGCGATACGGCACTTCCACCGTTTTACCTTCCGCTGCCCTAGAATCAAAAGTATTTTAAATGAGTTACAACCCTCTTCACCTGACCATCTTCTGAAATTCTAAGTTTACACAATGAGAGAAATTACAACCTAAAGCACTTACTTAAAGTAATTGACTTTTTTTTATTGCAGAGAAGCTGGTTGATGGCCTAAGTGCAACATCACAAATCTCCATTCACGACGCTTTTGTTGGAAAACTAGATAACTTCCTTTCTCGAAAATGTCCATAATTTTTCTTCTCCATTAACAGAATATTCCTTAGAAATTTCTGACTACCTGTATAGTTGACTTGTTTCTCTACCGAAAAATAAAATAGGAGCAGAGATTTTAAAACACTGCAGTGGAGATATTAGGTACTTTAGCCATTGTGGTAATTTATGGTTTTAAAAATTTTGGAACTTCAATAACATTTTCCTTGGGGGGAGAATATATATTTTCTTCCTAAAACACACCAAAAAAGTTACTTCCTTTGAGCACAATTAGTACTATGACAATTTTCCAACAAACATCATTTTCAAGAGCATCAAAGAGAGCTAGGTTACCAATTTTATGGAGTAATTTGGGATTAACTTTCAAACATTAGTTCTTTTGGTCAAATTTAGACATTTTTGTAATAACTGCTTTATCCTTGAAGCGACAACTCCCTAAGTTTTAGAAAACTAACTGTGCATTTGAAAAGCTGGGGCACTGAGGGTATGTGGTCTTGGGAAAATGACATGGAACAATGAAGTCTTATTTTGATAAGATTCGACTCCTTTAATGTTCTAAATTAATCTTGAATCTTATTCTATGATATTTGCCTTAGCTGAGGCCACTACAGTAGTTATATCTTGCTGCCGCTGCTTAAGAAAACATTGATGCAGGTTGCGATTGCTCATAAAGATGAAATAAAAAAGGTTAACATGAAAGATGATTGAAGCATAGAATGATGACCACGAAATCAATCTTTAGACGATGATATTTACAGGACTGAAAAAGTTGGATCAAACAGAGGAAATTAATACCGGTATGATGCGATGCCTCCTGCATGTTTCTGCATTGCTGTTGAGGAACTCATTCCGTAAAAAAGTTTAACTTTAGTTCCATCAGATTTCACTTTGAGCTCTCCGCCACTTTGGTCATGTCCAGCCAACATTCCACCTAACATGACGAAATCAGCACCTCCTGCAAACGCCTTAGCAACATCACCTGGGCAAGTGCAGCCTCCATCCTGCAGTTTTAAAGAATTATTATAAAAGGAAAAGACAGAGTAGAAAAATGGCGTCTTAAATGAGAGACGACATAATTTACTGCATTGCATTTATGCAAGTTTCCAAATTCATTTTTTTCCGTGGGAGTCTCGTCATCCACCCTAGGTTTTTTGAAATTTTCAGGGAGCTTGGTTACTTACTTTTCAAGAGGATATGGAATTGCATGGGTCAGCTTCGTAATAATTTAGCTAGGTGGATTTCCAATTTCCACTTTTTCCTGAAAAATAATTCCATGCTTTCTGACCCAATCAGTGATTCCCACGAAAATTTTCATCCCAAGTTTTTATAATAAAAAACCTTTGAAATCCACCTATCCGAGATTTTTTTGAGCGTTCCCTGCGTTTGCTTCCATGCAAAACCCAACCTAGTATATACCATCTAAGACACTCTGTCATCTGCCATTCTTCGAACGTGATCACACCAGACAAGCTGTTTAGTCATGGTTTCATAAATTTTTTTATCTTTATTTACATGTTTAAAAATATAATTTCATCAATGAGCAAACAAAAAAAAAAAAAAAAAAAAAAAAAAAAAAAAAAAAAACAAAAAAAACAAAACGAATGCATGGGTGCATATAGTTTAGAACTTCAGACCATTCCTTGCAATCAAACGTTTTTGTCTTACGGAAAATTCTGATTTGGTTCATGAAAACATCTTAATTTCTTAATTTAAGATACGTGATAAGGTGGAAAGTGACCTTCATTGCTGATGCTACAATACAGAATCGTTGTAAACTCAAAACGAAAATCCTGCCGGAGAAATGATTAATTAATTCCATCATTCACTCATACCAGTTTGAAACATAATCCCGATTTTCGGAACGACCTCCAGAGGTAACGTCAGAACTGAATTGTTGCAGACATTGACCAAAAAGCAATACACAATAGTTATGTTTGTGAATCCACTAATGTTTACCTAGTATTTTAGTAGTAGGTTGTGGCGCATTGCTTGAATATGTTTGGTGAAGGTAGCCAATGCTCAAAGCTTCAGTTAGTCTTATATTAGAGATTAATTTTTAACTCAGCCTCTAATTTATGTGTAACTTTATCTTCTGTATCTTTACCGAACAGAATAGTTATCTATCTTTGACCCCTGTAGGCTGTTTGGTTTCCACAGTTGGTATAAGCTGACTTTCATTTAAAAAAAAAGAGTGTGATATTCGATGGCAAAAATTCACCACAGTATCGACAATGATCTGTTTAAGTAACATACCGATATAATGTGTGCTCCTAGACCATGAGCAGCATCAGCACATTCCATTACTGCACTTAATTGCGGATAGCCAACGCCAGTTTTAAACCGGGTGGTGCACACTGATCCTGGTCCAATTCCTACTTTGATGATATCAGCTCCAGACAGTACTAGTTCTTCTACCATCTCTCCAGTCACAACATTTCCAGCCTTTGAGAAAAAAACGAAACGAAAAAAAAAAAAAAAAAAAAAAACATTATCTTTGGATTGACTCATTAAATTTCCCTGCCTATGGACTATTTTAATGGTTTAAGCTTAGCTCTTGAATCTGACAGCCTTGATAAGCGTGTATCTTAAATTTTAAACAGAAATACTGATAGGTAAGTGGACGATTCTTTAAACTTGAATTAGGTAAATCCTGACTTATATCCTAACTTGAATGGTATTTGAGTGATAGACCTCAAAATTTTTTTACATATCGATGATAAAAGTGGATGCTAAATCACGTAACTCTGTTTGTGACACTGCAGACTTCCTGTCAGTATTTATTTTTTCTTTGGAAAACTGGTCAATGTAACTTCTTAAAAATAGCCATGTTTATGGAGTATTCTGCTTCATGTTCAAGCTAAAAAGTAGGCTCCTTTCTCTTCCAAAAAATAAAGTAAATGGGGGCCAAAAATTAGAAACACAGCAATGGAGATATGTGGTTTTGCACTTTGGCTATCGATATCTGTCTTAAATGACGACATTATCGAATTCCACAAGTTTTGGTCTTGACTGAAAGTGCATGAAAAGTAAAAAAATATTAAAAAATAGATTTTGGACACTTTTATAACAGGTATGACATTTTTGTGATCTTGAAAAAAAATATGTGTAAAGTTGAAGAAGTTTAAAGAAATCTCATGTCTTAAATAAAAGCTATCAAATATTGGGATAGAAAATTGAGCTGTAGTGTCCAATTTTTTGGCTGAATATGAGTTTATTAGAAAAAAATAATCCAAAAGAAATAAAATTTGTTTGCAACATTGAATTGAATGATGCTCATGGTGCTATTTCGTCACCTCAAAAATCATTTAAACAGTTAAGACACTTAAAACGAAGCTGAGTTAGGGTTGAAGAGGGTAAAAGTTCCCACCTTCCACTTTAGTTAATTCGGCGACCAACTGAATGGCCCGATTTGCTTCAGATTTGAACAGTTGTGAGCTTTGCACTCATGTTTACGAGATTCTGTATATACAGAAAGTTACATTTCACATGTAACTTCAAAATTAACTTTTCAAAAAACATTTTCAATCACTTTTGCTCACCATTGCCCAAAAAAACTATGGTTCGAAAAACAACTGGCAAAATATAGCCAAGAATATAGAATAATATGAAAAATAGTATTCATCTAAATCAGAGCAGTAATAGTGCATCGGACCCCTGCCCTCATTGTTTGCCCTATCATTTGGGCAAAATTAGGTATGCACTGTGGAAAGAGACAGGGATATTCTAAGATATGACCAAAAAATCTGCATTAACATGAGATATTTGCTGCAAGTTATGCATTTCCCTGAAAAATCCACTAATAGTTCTCAAAGCATCAAGTCCATCCTATACTCTACAGCATGTGAAAATTTTCATTGACAAGCAGCACTGACTGTAGGGTACTTTTACCCCAAATGTGCGTGAGTAAGTGTGCTTGTCCAATTGTGACATCACACAAAAACCTTGCATTCGTGAAAAAGCAAAAGGCAAACGACTCAAAACAAAAGCTAAGTGATTAACCCAAAGACATCTGAAAATAAGGTACCAAGTTTGATCCCATTCAAACCAGCAACAAGAAACTAAATATATGTAAATTTGTAATGAAATCTATTGTTTAAAGATACTAAGAAATGAAATTTTGTTACAATTTCCAAAGATGAGCTCTGCCAGGAGTCAGTCTTTGATTACAAATGAGGTACTGGATGCGAAAAGGGCACTTCTCCGTTGCAGTGTTTCAGAGTCTCCTCTAATATTTCATTCATTGTAAGTTTTTTTTTTTTTTTTTACTACTTCAAATAGCCCACAAGGGCTAATCCCACGCTTTAAGTCCCATCCCCCCTCCGTCCCTACTGAACCAGCCCCAGGCAACCATTGTTTGAGACCATCAAACTCGGGTCGCCTGGCCGGGAATCGAACCCGGGACCTCCCGATTATAGAGCAAGCGCTACAACCACTACACCATAGGAGGCCGACATACTACACCATAGGAGGCCGACGAAAGTAAGGAAAGTGAATGAATCCATTGCACTAAAAATTTCACTGAATATTCCTTATGATTCTACAATTTTCTTTGGAAAGAATTCTGGCAAAATCACCCATTAAATTCTTCTCCAAGGGATTAATTAGCAACAGAGATTCTGAAACACTGCAATCGAGAAGTGCCCTTTTCGAATTCAGTGCCTCAAATGAGGAACAATATTACAAGCTCAACAGACCAAGTGCCGTTGCCAATCTACTGCCAAAAAAAGCTGGGCGTACTTTTACGCGCCCTTAATCAGTTTTTTAGTTCAGTGAATTATTCCTGTAGGAGAATGTCGAGCTTGAAAATTAACTACTTACGATAATTGTGTGACCAGGATACGCTTCTCTAACTTTCCTCACAAAATCAACAAAACTTTGAGAGTACCCATTGGCTACGTCCAAACAAAGTGTATTAATTCCAGGAACTGCTGCCAGTATTTGTTGAAACTTTTTGTAATCCTCCTCTCCTGTGCCACAACTTAGTGCAACATTTTCCATTACCTCAGGATTTTCAGCTGCAAATGTTTTCCATTCATCCACTGAGTAGTACTTGTGAACTGTTGTAAACACCCCATGCTGAAAGAAATTGGAGGAATTATCAGTAAATCTGAAGTCTATACGCACTTGAAGATATCTCACTGAAGTGATATCAGACTTCGCTAGTTGAAATAAAATATGACTGTTAGCGAATAGCCAAAAATGACAGCAGATTGGAGAGAAATACATTGATGAGGAACTGATATTCACTAATCTCCCTCATCCAACCAGACAAGTAAGCACTTTTGCAATTCTCTTCACTACTATTTATACCAATTAACATTTTTGGCTGCCAGACTAAGTGATATGGTGATTAATTGAAATTCTCCTTTGAGGCAAGTAAAAATGTTAGTGCATTCCAAGAAATAACAATGTTTCTTTTCTCATAGTGAGACGGGAAATTTACAATGTTGCACTTGGACATACATGTTGAACGGGTTTCACCATCAATTAACAAGCAAATGTAGTTCAATGTTATCAAGACCTAGACCTTGGCCAATCTATTTTAAACCAAAAGCACCGAGAGCATACTTAGCTGAAAGCATCTTACCCTGTGCAAGGCTTTTGCCATATCAAAAGTGCCCACGGTGTCCATATTCGCAGCGATCAGTGGGACTCCTCGATATTTTCTCTTTGAGTTCCTAAAGTTAATATCACGGTACAAGTCGACCTGAAAGAGCAAGAAATCAAGATGTTAGAGATGCGACAACCAACGATATGCTTATATACGGACATCACGTGCAAACAGTTATCATTAGCGGACTTACATCGGCGCGGCTTTTGAGCGTGCTCCTTTTGGGTCGGAGCAGGACATCCTTAAAATCTAATTTGACTTCGTAAACGATATTCGGCATTTCGAGAGGACACTATAAATTCATAGAAGAGAGCACAAATCGCGAGTGAAATCTAAGCCCGTAGAACCTCGGCCTTGCAATTGCAACTGAGCTGAGCTGCCAGATCTTGGAGCTGTCAGTGCCAAACACTGTTATCACATTATCAATAGACACGCGCGAACAGCTGATTATCACAACTTTATAACCTCCAAGTAAGTATAAAGCAAGTATGAAGTTCCTCGGAGCGCGCTCTCGCGGAAGTTTCTCGAGTCCAGACCGGCGCACACTGTGGTATTGGACCTGAAAAGCTGGCCAAAACTATTTATCACCAGATATTGCCGAGTTTTAAAAATATTTTACAATCAGTACTTCTTCTTAAGTGATAATATGCACAATTTAACCACCTAACACATCATATGACTATTTGCGGAGAGTTTAAAGAGGGTGCAAGAAGCCCTCCAAAAAGCCTTTAAAAGGACGCAAAGTATCTGACTAAAGCGGTGCATTTAGACGAGTTTCTCCTTCACCTAGGGTCTACTTTTCGAAATAAGGACTTTCTATTACCTCATTTATGGTTTTTTTTTTTTAAAACAGCGTAAGTCACTTCAATATTTTTGACAAAACAGCCGATCTCTCACACTGAGGAGTAATTGTACATTTCTCAAAAAATTAATATGAATCATTCTAGATATTAGATTTTTGACAATTTAGAATCAAAATTAGTGCTAGTATGAAAGTGCCGGGACCTCCAAATGATGATTTTGAGGTTAAATTATAAGATGAAAATGAGTTTTATCATAATGAGAACCATTGTAAGGGCAGGAAGCACCTGTGAAAATGGATTAATTTTGATGGGTTCCTTCCTAACCCATGGTCCACATCTCAAAGTGAGGGCTCTTCACTGCAAAATTCGTAACAAAACAACATATCTCACTTTTACGAGCCTTCAAATGTGCCTCTCAGCGTAATTTCATGGTGCCAGAGGGCCACTTTTAAAGCCCCACCCCGCGGCAACATGGACTCAAATTTGTCTGTAAAAGTAAAACATGGCATAAATACGTCTATACTCAAGGATAATGCACGAAGAGATTGTTAGATAACGGATTAAACACTTTTGCAAGACTTTAAAGTGACCCTCCCATCCGCTTTCAAATTATTTTTTTTATCCTTCTTTCGAGGGCGTAGGGGCCAGGGAAACAGGTTGCGTGACCAAATGTCACCCAATTTGTTACGAAATGGGTCAGAGCTGTTGGAAAAATACAATTTCAGTCGTTAATATCGACATAATTTTTCCCATTCATGTTCGTGAAAACGGTGAAAATCGCTCAAAAGTCCATCTTTAAGGTCAAAAATTTCAATTTCCTCAGTTTTCCTCAGTCTGTCACCCCTGAATCCTGAAAATACCCACTTTAGACTATAACATTCCGCCTTAAACCGCTTGAGCGCAGTTGAGCGTAAAAAGAAATCGGACTCAGAATTTCGAAAAAAACGTTTACTTTTACATCACTTTTCAACCTCCTGTGAAAATCACTAAAAATGGAAATTTCAAAAATACTGTGGTTAGTTGTGTAGAATATACCCCTAAGAATGTGTTGCATATCACCGAAGTTCCCTTTTATGGCCGCACAGTAATGAAGTAAACTGATCGACGAGTAGCGCGCCAAAACATATCAAAATAATCGCTGAGAATTAGGTAACTTCGTGGTTTCTTCGCGGGAAATTGAGCCGCTCGAAAATTGGTACATACATGTCTACCAGGGTAAAAAACAGTGTAGATTTCGAATATAACATTGGTTTTCCAATAAAATAAAATTTAAAATTGAGGTTTTGGCCAGGTTTTTCGGTCAAATACCACAGTGTGCGGCGCCGCGTTGGGCGCCGCACTATGGTCCACAGACTGGATTTAACGGAACTTTATTCGAAAATGCACTGCACCGTTATAAAAGGTGTTGGATCATATGTTTTTTGGGTCGCTGATTTCATTTTACATCTTAGTTTAACAAAATATTAACATCCTGACCGAGAAACATAACCTCAAATGTGATTTCTGGCGCTTTCAAGACTGAAGATTTTTTCCACCCTATTTTGACATGTATAAAAATAATAACAAAAGTGTCTCTCTGTCGAGATCAGACTATTCTCATTTATTTTTAGGCGGTAAATCCGAATATGACCTCCGTTTTGGTCCATCACCCTTAAATTTTCCGGAAAAGCCGATTTTACCCGGAAAAATGGACATTTTTGGTGTTTTTGCGACTGTTGACCTCTGCAGCATGTAGGTAAAATTTTTTTTAGGTACTAAATAGTACTAGTTCGATGAATTTTGATCTACTGAGTCTGAAAATGACCTTTGTCTTTTCTTATCACCTCTCTTTTTTCCGAAAAAGCGACTTTTTCCCGGGAAAATGAGCAATTTTGACGTATTTTTGTCATAATTGCAATTCATGTTGATAAATTATACTGGACCCGTGGTAAAGCGATTCGGTCATGTATATTAAGCTGCTAAATCCGAATATGACATAGGTTTTGGTTTATCACCCTCCAGTTCTCCGATAATGCCGATTTTTCCGTGCCTTTTGAGTAAAACCTTTCCCGGACTCTTGTGTCAAAAATACGGTTTAAAATTGATTTCGATGTTTGATATATCGATTCTTATGTATTTTGACTCGCTAAGCCCGAATATGACCTTAGATTTTTCCTATCACCCCTCATTATCCCGGAAAATTCAATTTTCCTCGGAGAACGAGCTTTTTCGGTATTTTGGCGCCAATTTTCCTATTCTATGGAGTTGTAGCGATTTTCCAAGTTCCTCTTTAGGTCTTCTCTGACGTCTTAAGAAACATTCAACCGGAGTTCGACCTCAAATTGCCTCTTACAACCCCCCGTTTTCCTCAGAAAACGGAAAATCGTCGCAAAAATACCAAAAAAGCTCGTTCTCCGAGGAAAATTGAATTTTCCGGGATAATGAGGGGTGATAGGAAAAATCTAAGGTCATATTCGGGCTTAGCGAGTCAAAATACATAAGAATCGATGTATCAAACATCGAAATCAATTTTTAACCGTATTTTTAACACACTTAGAGTCCGGGAAAGGTTTTACCCAAAAAGCGCGGAAAAATCGGCATTATCGGAGAACTGGAGGGTGATTAATCAATACCTATGTCATATTCGGATTTAGCAGCTTAATATACATGATAGAATCTCTTTATCACGGGTCTAGTATAATTTATCAACATGAATTGCAATTATGACAAAAATACGTCAAAATTGCTCATTTTCCCGGGAAAAAGTTGCTTTTTCGGAAAAGTGAGAGGTGATAAGAAAAAACAAAGGTCATTTTCGGACTCAGTAGATCAAAGTACATCAGAATACTTTTATTTTGTACCTAGAAAAAATTTAACAGTCGCAAAAACGCCAAAAATGCATGGAATATTTAACATTTTGATGTACGGAGGTGCACTCCGAAAAAAATTGATTTCGACCGTTATAGGCGCAAAAAGGCGCAATTTAAATTGGCATCATTTTAAAGTCAAGGATATGTTGAACAAGATTTTTCAATCCGCAAAGCATTAACTAGAATTAAAAAAAAGTTAGAGCTTCCTAAAAATTACGAATTTCACTGATTTCTAGCATTTTTTGGCGTATGTTTGGAGCGTTCAAAAGCATACAAATTTCGGTTCAAAATTAATGAAACGGGGTGAAAAGGAAGTCACTTGCCATCAGGTGGATCCATGTTGCCCAAAAATTTACATAGATGAGGCGTAACTCGGTAAAATAAACACCCTGTAACGCACCACCGAATGCGGCTCACAATCAGCTAATGAAGACCTACCGCGCGCTCTGTTGTTAGGGTCCGTCACAATCTTATAAATCATTATTAGTCGATGAAAACTTAGGTGACGATCCATGAGAGTATGTATGATAAAACTGTAGTGCCAAACTTTAATTTTTTCCACCCTCAAAATTTGACTAAAGTTCCGCTAAATAGGGTCTGTGGACCATAGTGCGCCGCGCAGGACATTGGGAACCGGCCAATCAAAAGCCGCGGTTATATTACCAGACTAGCGCCAGACAGAGTTTGAATGAATCGTATTAATAGTAGTTCGATGTATCGTTTGGTTTAAATTTGTCGTCAAATTCTCGGTAAAAAAAAATCGTCACATTGAAATAAGATTTATTTCAACAAGCATGAGTGGAAAAATAGAGGAGATGCCGGTTTGATCGCCACAGTACATCACTTCCATCATTTTCCTGCCATTCCGGCGCGTTTCAGGTAAATTTCCTCAAGTCTTTGGACTTCGTGGAAGCGGACTTGTCTGGGATTTTGGCTCCAAAAAAAAAAAAACGAAATAACAGGGTCGGACTGGCTCGCATCTGAGGGCGTAGACCCTTGGCTGGTTAAAGGGCCGTGATGTGATATTTCCTGGTAGGGCATTCCCTATACGTGGAGAGGGGCTCAGAAAATTTTGGCAAAGCAGCACAAGTTCGTACATAGTAAAACTTGAAAAAATGAACATATTGAAGTAGCCGACTGAAATTAAAGAAAACAAAAATTTAAAGCCACCAGACGCATCCAAGCACCATTATTTCCGAAAGAACCGAGCCAGTGCCGCGGTTTACACGAGCTTAAGACGCAGGTCTGCAATTAAATCCTTCCTAAAAAAGAATCAGACAAGAACCTGAAAACAGAAGAAAAAATCAACACGGCCGAAGACAGGAGAGACGTATTTGAGCTGCTTTTTAAACTTTTCTCCAGAATCTGAGCGACACTTCATTGACAGCATATAGCAGAGCATCGAGAGCTCCTTCAATTTTTCAGATGCAGCACGGACGTCCATCAAGTACGAATAGTTGTATCTCTGCGCCGTCGTAAACGCGCACCCTTTCCCTCCCTTTATTTCCATATTGTGTTTCTTTCCGTTTGTCTTATTCGTGATTGTGCTTCAAGCACTACGTGAGTAACACAGCCGAAGGTAGGAGAGATGTGTTCGGGCCAGGCCCGCCACATCCCATCTCGGGCCCTAGTACCAGCTTTTAGGTCCGGGCCCCAAGGATGGAGGGGGGGGGGCATCCCCCGATAAATTTTAGAATTTATACGACTAATCGGACGCATTTTGAAGCTTCCATAAAGAATTTTTCCATCAATTTC